ATTCAATCATTGTTTTACAAATTAAGATTCATCAGAAAAATTCAAATAGGAAAACAGTCAAATTCTCACGATTATTTCTACTCGACTATTAATATTATTATTCTCAATTGTTTAAATGAAGCATTGTCAGTTATTTTTTTTTTTTATATTTCACTAGAAGTATAACCCATTACTATATCATAGTTTAAAATAACATTAAGTGGAGACTGGTGTCAACATTGAGTGGCGACAAACCTTGTCCTGGTTGAATGCAAACGTGATTCGTAATAATTCCGCTCCAGTATGATACAGACGGTCACCCCTTGATTTTGACCTTAGTGTCTACTCTTATACTTACACACGTTCTATCCCGGATACAGAACACCCGGAAATATAACATATGTTATAATATATATATATATATATATATATATATATATATATATATATATATATATATATATATATATATATATATATATATATGAGGAAATATACTCTTAAGGTGTACTATATTCATGGGTTAAAGTGCTCAATATCAGAGATAGGCTGTGTGCAAATATAAAAGTGAACATTGAAGTCAACACTTAGAGGAGACAGTCTGTTTCATGCCAGACGCAATCGTCAAGCTACGAGTGTTGTTTCATTTCTCGGCTATTTATATATACGGGTCAGTGGTGCATTGTGGGTAGTCTATTTTGGCGGTTATTTTGCCGGAAGTCGTTTTATTTGTTTATTTATTTACTTAGGTTAAACCTTTTTTAAAGTTTTATATTTATATTTTTTATATATATATATATATATATATATATATATATATATATATATATATATATATATATATATATATATATATATATATATATATATATATATATATATATATATATATATATACACACACACACTAACAATATAACCAGTCTTTGACCGGGTCTTACATTACTGGGAATTTTTGCCGTTCAATTAGAGCAGTTTAAGTTTAAAGGCAGCCCACTCGAAAATCAATATTAATAGCAACAATTGGGTGCGAGAGGAACCTCCCCAAATTGGGGGGAGGGGGGGGTTAACAATTTGAAGGGGGGTCCGAAAAGGGAACTGTATCATAATAAATAATATTATTGTAATAATTTAAACTATTTTTACTAAAGTTTTTATGAAACATATATATCCAAGAAATATCCAAATGAATAGTAAAAACGTTTTTGAGAGTTTTAATGGACAGGAAGTAATGGAGAGTCATTGACGCAAACTATTTGGACTCAAAACCGGCACTGATGACTTATCTATCAAACAAAAAAAAATCATCAAAATCAGATGAAAACTGTGGAAATGTATAAACATCCGATCACACACATACATACGCGCACACATTTTGAGAATTGTAGGTATAAATACTAGCTTAAAAGCCGCTTGTAGGGTGGCATTTAAGCTAGCTCCTGCGGAGGTCGATTTTACTGCGTTTAAACAACAATCTTCAGGCTAAACGTTGTAATAAATATGGCGACAAAGATGAAGACAATAGTCCGAATAATGTAAATAGTGTACATAATTCCTCATCTCAGAAATATAGACAGATACTGAAGGGTGATAAATATGGCGACAAAGATGAGGACAATAGTCCGAATAATGTAAATAGTGTACATAATACCTCATCTCAGAAATATAGACAGATACTGAATGGTGATAAATATGGCAACAAAGATGAGGACAATAGTCCGAATAATGTAAATAGTGTACATAATTCCTCATCTCAGAAATATAGACAGATACTGAAGGGTGATAAATATGGCGACAAAGATGAGGACAATAGTCCAAATAATGTAAATAGTGTACATAATACCTCATCTCAGAAATATAGGCAGATACTGAAGAGTGATAAATATGGTGACAAAGATGAGGACAATAGTCCGAATAATGTAAATAATGTCTCCCCTAAGTTCTGTCTAGGCAGAAAATTTTCTCGCACGCGATTGCCATTTCTTTCTGCGATAGACTGGTTGACAACCAAGGCTGTCCTGGTAATCAACTCAGAGCAGAGGATTTTTTTTTTCATTCGAGAGTCTTAATCGCCTCTGGTGAAATTTGAACCAAAGGTTCATGGTCCTTTTCATAGTTGTATGCACTCCCTTACATTCCGTCACACATTGTCTCACTAACAAATCTTGATTACGATGGTATCGAGGAGTTAACAGATAATAATAATAATAATAATAATAATGATAATAATCTATGATCTAGTATAATTTTAAGAATATCACCAAAAATAAAATTGATTGATGTATTTATTTTTTACAGTTTATCAACCGATTGTGGGTTATTTAAAGCCGAAACTTATTTTTGGATTCGTGGAATAAACATTTTTTTGTGTGTGTGTGAGTGACTATTGAAGCGTTTAAGAAGAAATATATCAGTGAATTTTTCAATATCTGTCTATATATCTAAGGTGAATTATTATGATTACTTGTGTTGTTTACATTATTCGGACTGTTATCCTCATCTTCATTGCCATATTCACAACGTTTCGGCTGTTGTACGCTCCGGCCTTCTTCAAGCGATTGGAATTTCGAATCGAAACCTTTATTTCATCCACCGAGGTAGAGTGTTCTAATTCTACGTGCCAGGCCTCTTCCGGATGTCTCAGTTATTTACTTTTAACACAACTCTCCAAGATTTGGTTCACCACTGCTGTGGCCTGGTATTGAACTCATAACTCTTTGGGTCTAGTCACTGGATCTAACCAACGTCTTTATCCACTGGGACAAGATGGGGATAAGAGTGTGAATAATGTAAATAATACTAGTGAATTTTTCAGATACATGTCCAACTTTTTAAGCCATAGCTGGGGGATCAAAGATAAAAGTAAAATAAATGAAATTGTTAGGATTCGATATTTGTTTTAACGTCGCATGACCACCAGAAAAGCCATCACATAGAATTGATTTATGACTTCCTAAATATTTACTGCTTTAAATGGTTCTACGCATGCGCAGCCATCATTTTCTCTCGAAGTCAAAAATAGAAACTCAGGAATATCCGTATTCTGGAATCGTGCTTCCAGTTTCTTTCTTTCTTTCTTTCTTTCTTTCTTTCTTTCTTTCTTTCTTTCTTTTTTCTTTTCTTTTCTTTCTTTCTGCCTTTCTGTCTTTGTCGTCGTCAGTCAGTCTGGCTTCAACGTACTTGATTTTCGCTTCTCCTTCTCGAACCGATTGGAACAAAGAAGTCGTTGTAATAAAAATACATTTTGATTTCAACACTGGCTTATTGCTTTTCTTTGGCCGGAGGAAATGAAATTATTAGTAAAATCTGTTAAGATATGATTATTGAACTATAATGAATATTTTATTTTGTTCTAAGACTGTATCTTTATCGTATTTCCTCTTCTCAATGCGACTTCAAATGTGGACGTTGATACATAGATACTCCTCGACTTAAAACAGCATTAATGACAGAACGGGAGTTTGTCTCTCTCTCTGTTGTTGACCTAATACGAGTCCCAAAAGCCACTTAAAGCAGAAGGTCACTGAATGAAATAATTAAAAGTAGATAAAAGTTGACGTGAGACTTAAAAATAATCAATTCGCCCCAAGCAAGGTTATACAGCTACAGTGTAACCCGGATATAAGAGACCCGGATATAAGAGACCCGGATATAAGAGAGATTTTCTCTGGTCTCAAATTAGAGCCTGTGTTAATGTATATAAAATAGACCAAACCCGGATATAAGAGAAACACGGATATAAGAGACTTCTTCTCCGGTCCCGACAACTCTCTTATATCCGGGTTACACTGTACTCAGACGCCAGGGAATGAATGGGAATGGGAATACTTTAAAAAGAAAGTGGAAATACAATATTAAACAGGAAACAGGGTGTAAATTCTACTCCGGGGAGGAGCATGAACCAGATGATAGTTGAACCTTGATCGCCCTATTGGAAAAAAAAAAAATAGTAAATAAAATTTCGGAGTTTTGGCAGAAACGTTAAAAATATACAGTTGAAATAGACTTTAGAATAAACCGGAAACCCAATCCTAAACAGGAAACAAGGGATAAACCTCTACTCCTGTTCAAAAGAAAGAGTGTGAACCATTTTCTTGTGTCTTTTTTTTTTTTAATTAATTCACCCCAACCAAGGTGATAATGTCACCAAGACACACTGGGTGACTGACCGTGAAAGAGAATGAGAAAACTTTAGTAGGAACCGAAAACCCAAAGCTGAACAGTAAAAAAGGGGGTAAATCTTGTTTGGAGGTGAAAAGATCGGGGAGGCATAGAAACTGAGCGATAGACTTTAGAAGGAACCGGAAATGCAATCCTAAACAGGAAACAAGTGATGGACCTTTACTTCTTGAAGAGGTTAAGATTATAGTGATCGAGGAATTATTTTCTTGCGAGCCTGTTCTACAAAATAATGGTTCTTGGAAAGAAAGTGTCCGAACAAAACTTTCTAATTACTAATGGAATACGAACAAAAGGGACAAGGATGATTCAAGCCTGTACAGAGTGTTTCACAATTGTTGAAACAAAGCAGCGGTCTCTCAGATGAAGAAAGCATGACTAGCATGAGGACTTTGATGTGGGCGAACAATGGTAACAGCAAGATGGTGCTCCTCTTCACACTGCTAATGTTACTATGGCATAGCGCAGTGAAAAGTTTAGGGAGCGTCTCATCAACCGCAAGGCTAAAGATGAATGGACACCTCACTCGCCTGAACTGACCCCACCACGGACTTCTTCCTCAGGAGGTTCCTCAAGGACAACATCTACCAGGGGCAAACCTAGCATCATTGCTGATATATATATATATATATATATATATATATATATATATATATATATATATATATATATATATATATATATATATATAAAGACATTTTATGTTAATACATTCTTTTTATAGAATTTTATAAAAATGTCTTAAAATAATTGTTGGACTTTGTCCATTTCATGTGTGACGTCATTTGTTTACAATTAGATAAGCTTTGAGCAGATATGAATGTACGTGAGAGATTCATGGAAGATTGCAGTTTAAAAGCAGTAAAATCGACCTTGCAAATTGAACGATCGGTTAAGGCACGTCAGGCTAAATGACGATTCCGTATAGAACACAGGTTCGATTCCTGCCGGAGGACGAATATTTTCTATGGAAATTTCTCTGGCATTCAGGCCGGTAAATGTTATTAATACTGTTTATTATAAAACAGATCATTTATTTGTATCTATAAAAAGAATGTATAAACTTAAATATGTCTTAAAATAATTGTCGGACTTTTTCCATTTCATAATACATACATACATATATATATATATATATATATATATATATATATATATATATATATATATATGTACTCTCTCTTTCTCTTACATACACTCATATATGTGTATGTGTGTGTATTTATAGGACGTATTATAGTATGTATAATAGTTTGTGGAGCGTTTCATCAGCTTTAAAGCTGAAGTGGTATGGCCACCTCACTCGCCTGATCTGAACCCGTAAGATTTTCTTCCTCAAGGACAATATTTACCAGAGCAACACTCGCACCATAGCTGCATTGAAGTCATCCACTAATGAGAAGATTCAATCGATCACCCAGGAGGAATGTGCCTGCGTTATCAACAGCTTTTTACCCCGCCTTAATCAGTGCCTTCGACTGAACGGTGGACATCTGGAGCATGTACTCTAGGGTTCCTCTTCCCATTCCTGGTTCATGTTTGAAACTAAATGGTTGCAGATTCTGAAAGATTATCCTTTTAACTTTCGATATAATTTCCTTTACTCTATCATTTGTGGGCCTTCATTTGTGCCCAATCATTTTCCTTCAAAAATCGTTAACCCTAGAACACTAACCATCAATTAAAGTTAACACCACTGCTGGCGGCTGCTGCCCGTCCCGGCCCCGTCCCGGCCCCGGCCTGCCTTAAGCGGTCAACGGCGGCAGACAGGTTTTTAGCGACGGCAGGGGCCCGGCACAGCCGAGGCGCACTACGCGCGTCCGGTGACGGCGAACAAAGGCGAAGACGGGCCGTCGGATCGGGCCGCCGTTGCCCTCGGCTTTCTAGCGCGCTCGGAAGCCTGCCTCACATTCGTTAGGATGCGTAAGTAGCGGGTAACAGAGTAGTTATCGCCGGGGAAAATAGTTTCGGCGAGTCGAGTTCAAATTCAGGTCTTGTCTGTTGCGTTTACTTTCGTATAAATATCCTTTAGAAAGACATTTCTTTCTTTCTTCTTACATTTCTAATCAGGAGTTAAGTAATAGTTTTCACTCGTCACTTTAACTTTGAGCAATAGTTAGCCTAAGAAAAGGATTACTCTGAATTCAAAAAAGGGCAGATGGTAACATAAAGGAAACCGTGGAGAGACATGATCGGCTACAGTTTGAAAGGTCATAGCACAAAAAAACAAAACAACCCCCCGACTAATTCAAATTTGTTTAATAGCAATAAAAATATTATAAAAAGCGCCTTACAAATATATTAAAAATAAACAAAAAAAAAAGCTTGATGCTACCTCCCCCTACGGCAAAAATTCGCTATTCACATTACTATTAGAATTTCACTCACCGTGCATTGTTTTTACGGGTCAGAACATATCAAGTGACGATCGCTAGACTGTTTACCAACCAAGGCTAGAGACCCCAACGTCAACTTCTATTTAACTCAGAGCCGGGAAGAGTAGAGAAGGACTCGTAATTTCCACAAAGATATTTCTGCGAAAGTGAACGGGTCGAACTGAGTTAGAATTCGAACCCTGCTCGACGATTTTGCTTTCCGAGTCGCTAACCGCCACACTACTCGTATAACCTCAGACATCATACAAAGATCTATGGAAAGAGTAATGATAGATATATCTCAGGAATAGAAGCAATTCAACATAAATCAGGGAAAAGACTAAGATAAGAGACAGAATTGAACGAAACAAATACATACGTTAGCAGATCAAAGGGAAGATAACAGGTGGAGCAAAAGGTTGCTTTACCCATTGAGTAGCATACGTAGTAGCAAGGGAACAAATGGAGAAATAGGATCAATGGCATGGAATAGAACAGTAAGGGTCGTTCATGAAGAAGTTAGAAACGGCCATTATCTAGCAGTGGACTCATAATAGTTGCGTTTGATGTTGATGGAGACGGGGAGTTACGTTTCTGTTGAATATTTTCATTCTTGAAATGAGGTTAAAATAAACACTAGATTCCAACAGCTTTTTTATTAATTCACAGTATGTCATTAAAATGAATTTGTTTCCGTTCATTTCTGCCAGATGAAATGCATTTGAACAGGGTCTTGACTATGGAATTTTCGAAAAAGGAAAAAAAATGAACATCCTGTAACGAAGACCCTAATAAATCAGATAAAGTGCGTTAACCAATTTTCATAAAATTTATATCATTAAAAAAAGAATTGTATAGAAATCTATTTTCAAGAAAAAAAGCTGTTTGCGTTTCAAATCGGTGTTTACGATTCCACAAGAAAAAAATCAGCATATTTTAGCTTCGATTATACTTGTAAACATTTTATGACTATTAATTTTTTGGATCGTTCTTCTAGTACACGAATAATATTTCGCCAATAAGTCTGTTGTTGATGTGTAAAACTTGTTGAAAATTATTTTTAAAATATCACTATAAAAATCTACACGAATTTTAAAATTCAACTAATTAAAATCTAGTAAAAATTTCGCTATCATGAGAGTTATTGGTATCATGCAATCTAATCCTACCTGCTGCAAGCACAAATCACAAGACATCATAGCCGAGGGTGTGAGTGTACTGATCTTTATTCGGATTTCTTATCATTCTCTCTCCAAGAAACTGTAACAATGGTCCATTCAGCGTACTTACAGTATTAACCCCAATTAGGCTCTGTGACAAATACAAATGTGCCTGATAAGGAGACTGCAACAGGGATTGGCTTGTCGATTTATCTTGGGAGGTGGGTCGAAAACATGTAACTAAGAGCATATATATCATGTTTACATGTTTGGAATATAACTGCAGATAATATCAGATTGTGGCATTTTTGACATCTATAATTCAGTATCCTAATAACCGTTCGTAAATTTAAGCAATTTTGTCATTTTTGATCATCCCTACTTCAGCTATTCCATGGGATACATGAAGTTTGTTTTTTCACGTCTTAACGTGACCATGATTCTCTAAATACATTTTGTCCCATTATTGTCTCCCATTGTCTTTGTTTTGTCATCCGTTCAGGCTATCTTATTATGTAGATTACTCAGTATTTCTCTTGCTTTCAGTATGTCCTAGGAGTGTTAAATTCTCCAAGCCATCTTTCCTCGTTTCTGATTCGCTATTATATAGCAGTCCAGCACATTTTTTCTATTTCTAACGAAATAAAATCATAGCGTGACATGCTTTCTGTCCATAAAGGACAACGTACACTAGCTATATATATATATATATATATATATATATATATATATATATATATATATATATATATATATATATATATATATATATATATATATATATATATATATATATATATATATGAAGAAATATAATCTTAAGATGTACTATATTTGGGGGATAAAGTGTTCAATATTAGAGGTAGAGCGTATGTAAATATAAAAAGTGAATCATTGATGTCAACACTTAGAGGCGACAGGCTGTTTCATGCTAGACGCAATCGTCAGGCCACATACACACACACACACACACACTCATATATATCCATTTTAGATGCCTTTAATGTTGAAAAGATTCTGTTATGTGGTACAAACCTTTGTTTGAAGAAGGATGGTCCTCTCTAATACCTACAGGATTCATTCGCTTAAAGTCACCTTTAACCATCGGTTTCAGAAAGCAGTTATATACAGCTGACAGTTTAGGTATTTCTGAACGAGTTTGGCACCAAGCATTACCTCCATATTAAAGTCTCGATTTTGAAGATGTTATTTAAGAACATGACTTGAGTTTTTAGGTTTATGTTTTGGTTCTGTAGCAACTTGTGGTGTTGGGCGAAACTATCCCTAGTGCAGCCTATCCTATATTCAATTAATAAACATTTTAAAACGTCTTGAACTAATAATAATAATAAAAAAAACTGAGTTAAAACTATGTTCTGAGATTTCATTTGTGAAAAAATATGAGAAAAAATGGCGCCCATAACTTTAGTTGTTTTTGAGTCATGTAATGATAGACAAGCAAAAATTATTTGGTCAAGAATATTATTATTATTATTATTATTATTATTAGTAGTAGTAGTAGTAGTAGTAGTATTTTAATTTCTTTGATTTCTGTTCTATATTTCTTTCTTTCCGGGTCCCAACCAGAGACCTAAGGTCAGAAATGGCATCATGACATTTTCCACTGAGCATTTTTTGAAAAATAAATAAAACTACGATAAGACACATAGTTAAAAGACCTTCGTAATATATGAGCTATACTTGTGGGTACTTTTTTTTTTTTTTCTTTAAGGCTTGGACTACTAGAAATCCCTTCAATTAGTGTATCGGAGTCTTTTCCAACCAACCCGAAAGTTCCAACTACAACTGAAATTATTGATGTCCTCATGTGCTATATTTTTTTTTTAAGACTTCCACTTCAAGATCTTTGTATTTTTATAGTATCGCGAAGATCTTCAATGATGCATTAAAATCTGCAGTGACTGTCATATCAATAAGAAAGCACATTCTGTTCTTGTGGTCTTTGATCACGATGTCTGGGTGATTAGCTTTGATTGGTCTGTCTGTGTGTATTTTAAAGGCCCATAAAATGTTTACAGATCCTATGTAACTGGTTCTGGGTGGTGTTCATATCAGTTTCTTACAGTTTCCTTCCCGTAAAAGTTGCAGATTTTCCAGTGCAGATGTTAACCCACTGCCGATTTTTATATGCCAACACTGTGAAACCTAATACAAGATGGTCAATTGTTTTGGGAAATTTATCGCAAAATCCGTCTTTCAGGTTAACACAATTTTCAGTATGTGTGGATAATTTCTAGTTAGCAAGCATTTGTCCTGCGCAGCAAGAATTATTATTATTATTATTATTTGATTTCTGATGTGTACTCATTTCTTTCCGTGTCCCGCCCAGGGACCTAAGGTTAGAAATGGCAACATGACATTTCCCACTAGAAAAAAAAGAAAAAAAAAGCATATTTTACATAAACAAAGCCCTTCATAAGGTGTGGGCTGTACTCGTTTTTCTTTAAGGCATGGGCTTCCAAGAATCCCTTCAATTAGTATACTGGAATCTTTTCCAACTATTCCGAGGGCTCCAACTACAACGGTAATTGTTGAAGTTCCCATGTACCACATTTTTGAGATTTCGATTTCAAGGCCCTTGTTATTTAGTAGTTTTTCATCCTTTTTGTGTGCGATCTCTAATAACAACGTCTGGGCTGTTGGCTTTGATTGTTCTGTCAGTGTGTATTGTGTAACAGGTTCTATCTCCGTAACCGGGTCTGGGTGGTGTTCATACCACTTCCTTTCAGTTTCCTTCCCATAGAGGTTGCATATTTTCCAGTGCAGATATTGGCCAACTCTGTCATGCCGGGTTTTATATTCAGTGGGTGCCAATACCGTGCAACCTGATACAAGATCGATTGTTTCTGGGTAATAATCACAGAACCTGCATTTGGGGCTCACACTATATTTTAGTATGCATTCTTGATTATAATAATAATAATAATAATAATAATAATAATAATAATAATTATTATTATTATTATTAGTAGTAGTAGTATTATTATTATATACTCAGCTTCACCCAATATAAGGCTGAAGAGCCTTTTGTGTTAGAGTGTGACAAAATCTAGGAGGAGGTAGAAGTGAAGATTGTGGGGATATATAATAAATGCTCCCTGCCTTGAAGAGGTTGATATTGTATTGTCCAGGGGAGCATTCATTAAGGCGTGAGTTTTCTTTCACAGAGTTAAAAGAAAGAGAGAGAAAAAACTGTGTGAACGGAACTTCCTTCGGACAGGTTGTCTTCGGATGGGTTGTATCTCTGTCCGCGAACAGAGACCCAGCTGGAGAGAAAAAAATACTGAGAGGGACCCGGTCCGGGAAACAGTTACTCGCGGTTGTACCCCACTCATTGCACTAGAGAGTGGGGATCGGTTGTC